ATTTTTTTTTTTTTACCTTTCAGAAAGCAGTACGATCAATCCAGACCTTTTAGGGTCCAAAAGCTGTGGTTTTCTGAAAGGTAAAAAAAAAAAAAAGAGATAGAGGAAAAAAGGGGGGCGGGGGAAGAGAGGAGAAGATAAAAGGGGGAAGAGGGAGAGACAGTATCATGCTGAGTGTCCCACAAAGTCGTTTCAGATACCTCATTGTCTCTGGACCCTTTCAGAAGAAACAGAGATTCCAATGCAAGACAATTGGTACTATCCGCCTAAGAGTGTAGCCGGCTCCTACACTCTTACTGGTGCTCACCACAGTATATAAAATAGGAGCTGGCTACACTCTCATTGTCCCAGTCCTGATCTCCCCCTCTAAAAAAAGGGGGGGAAAAGTACCACAGAACCAAACTTACCATAAGTTTATGTTTTTAACATTAATCTTAATGAAAATTAGGCCAGAAGTCACAAGACTTAAGTTTTGGCTTTATTAGTTTGTACTTAGATCAAGAGAATTAACCTCTTGGTTTCCTTATCTAATGGGTATGTATATATTATATATTATATAAAGGGTAACTATCTAATGGGTACAGGGTAAGAGACAGGTTCTAGTTTGGCTGATTCTTTTATGGATTCTGAAAATCTATGATACTATCTTTACCTTTGTTTTCATTAAACAATCAAGTTTGCTTAAGCTCACCCCAAAACTGTAATGATTCATGCCAATATAGCACAAAGAACAAAGCCTAACTCATTTCATGAAGGCTGCTGAGAATGTCACTGACATCCATCTATAGGGAGAAGTATTACATGTTATTTCGGGAAGGAGTTTAATTCTCAAAGGTAAATTGCCTTCATGTAACAGTGACCACCCATTATTTCCAACCTTTAAAGGTACCAGAAGATACGATTTAGAAGGTGTAGGCTGCTGAGGTCAGGGCTCTAGTGGAAGATGAAAGGGTCATTCAATCTGGAATGGACGGTCAAGAGCTAGGCACGCTGATAGACGTGTGGCCCCTCTGAAGGCTGAAGTAGCAAATTCCTTATCAATATGATAAGCCATTACTTCAAGCCCACTATGGCTTCATGTTGAGTTAGGTGTTTTGGTTAAAAAAAAATAGAATACATATTCACTAATGCCAAGAGGATGCAGAAAAAAACAAAATACGTGAAACGGGAGCACACAGTTAAAACGTGTGCCAAAGAAAGCAGAGACCACAGGTCAGAAAAGAGGAAATCAGTGTCGGAAGGAAGAGAAGACAGACCAAACCTTGGGCGAGACTGTGAAGGGTAAGTGAAAGGGGCACCTGACTTTTAGCTCTGTCTGTCTCCCCACTGGAATGCTGGGGCTGCAACCGTTTGTTATCACCAATGTCCAGCACAGCGTCCGGCACACATGGAGAATTCCGTACATTTGGTAAAGTGAGGTTCGAGTCGGAATCCAGCACCGTGTGTATAGAGGATGACCATGAGTCAACCTGCTGGAATCACGAGTCACAAGGGTGATGAGAAGTGGGGCTGAATACATCAAGTGGGACCCTCACGCAGTAGAAGAGCAGGCAGCACAATGTAACACGAGGCCCTTCTAATCCTCAGAGCAATGCTTGAGGGTCCTTTGAGTCTACGACTCCTCGAAACATCCAAGCAGAGGCTGGACCATCTGTCAAGGATACACTAGTGTGGATAAAGACTCACGCAGACAACTGCTACAGTGCATTTTGAATTCTGCAATATATGTGATAGGAGTTTTAACAAAAGGCTCAAAATGACAGAACAATATGACATGGCGTCAACGAAAGTCTGTATGACTAAGCGCACAGCACGCACACGGGGCGCTAACAAAGGTTTGTCAGTGAGTGTTCAGAGAAAGGGAGATAACAGTCCAGTCAAACACAGAAAACATGACAGCTGTTTTTTCATATATCTGAAAAACTATCACGAAGTAAATTATATATATTCTGTGCACTTATGTTACAGAGGAAATGGCCTTAAAAAAAAAAAAAAAGGACAAAAATGTTTTCTGTCTCTTTAAAACCTCACTCACTCTTTTTCTAAGAGCTACATCTCTGCCTCAGGCCAGCAGTTGGGAGGGACAGGGGAATGTCCTTTGTTCTCTGTGCTAAAAGAGATGGCTCAACAAAAACTGTCCTGGGCGGAGGTAAGGGGATTGTCTTCAACAGAGGTGAGATGATCAAAACCATCAACTGTAGCTGAACAACAATTAACCTAAAGCTAAAAACCTCCCTTTAAATACTCTGTATAGAAATATTATTATTAGGACAGTGACGTTTTAGACAGGAGTCTCCATCCTCCTCATTTGCCGACAAATCAATAGATTTGTCACCCAAAATAAAGTAAAAATGTTTTGAGTCTCCTAAAACAGCACACCAACCCCAAAGTATATGATAATACTTACCCTATATTCAAAATCTGCAAACTCCCTGCCCCCTCGACCTCCTCTGAATCCACCACGAAATCCTCGAGGCGTGGTGAAGGTACCACCTCTGCCACCGCCACGCCCTCTGCCACCACGGAAACCAAGACCTCCTCTGCCTCTGTACCCGCCACGGCCACGGTTTGGACGAAGTGGGATTCCAAATGTTTCAGCGTTTAATCTTCTCTCTTCAGCCCAGGTTGGTCTTCGTTCTCTATTAT